CGAACGCGGTGTCCCCGGAACAATGCGCTTGACAGCCCACCGGCGCCGGCGGTGCCTCCTCCTGGGAAGCCCCTTCCCCAGCCTCGGACCTGCCCTCGCACCCCCGGGCGTGCTCGGCCGGGTGAGCACCGAAATCGGGTTCAAAAGCGAAAGCTGTCAACGTTGTTGCCTTTTCAGGGGTTTCGCCCGAAATTACTTGATGCTGTATCCAGAGACAGCGCTCTGTTTTGTGTTACCGTAGTTCGGCTATCAATTTTAGTCAAACGGCATAACGATCCCGTGTTAAAATGGAAGTTTGTGTTGCTTCCCGGAATAAAATACTAATTGTAAGAAGTCGGAGGAAAGCACATCCATGTTAACGTTACTTGCTAGTGCATAATAGCCATGTTTCACGCCGATCACCTGTTCAGTTATGAAAGGCTGAAGTTATACAGGCCTCATCTTAATTTTTCTTAAATCCTGTCAGTTTTAATCGGTAGAGCTGGATTTGGAAAGCATTTCTGTCAGGACTGGAATCTCACATTAAGTGTGCCTGTCCGAGAACTAGTTTGGATGCATCATGTTTAGGAGCTAGTTGTCCTTAACATCTATAATAATACTCTTCAAACAAATTCCAAAGCAATTTTCCAACAGTGAGGTGTACAGGAATTTTCTCTCAGAAGTTGTAGGTAAACTGAAAACAGTGCCATGACAGCATAGCTAGCAATATTAGAGGCTTGTTAACATTTGGCATTATCTCTTAAGGTTTGTTTCACAATAGAGTGTCTGCCTCTCCCAAAATTCCAACCAAAGTATTCAAGTTTTACAACATAATTATCTATAATTATATTGAATGGGATGTTTTCCTGATTACTTGACCAAAAACGACTTTAGTGGAGGGGTTTGTTTGGTTTTGGGGGTGATAGTTATAATTTTATCTTTCTGTTTTCAGAAAGTTCTGCTTTATGTAATATGTAACATATTGACATGCTTTTACATTTCTAAGTTATTAGAATTACAAGCTGAGGGTTGCTTGCAGCTAAGCTTGAAGTACTGTGCTTGGACTTCACAGAAGACCTAAATTTAGAATAGTGCCCCCCCCAACCCTCCGTGTTTGAGAAAAAACCTTTCCAAGAACAGTCAGATTGGAGAACATTAAAGATAAATACTGTTTTTCACTGTCGGTCAGGCTCAGTGGGTCCACCTCTTGGTAGTATGACAACTATAGGTCATGTTTAGCACAAGTTGTGGCTTGGCAATAAAAACTTACAGTCCTGTAAAATCTTCCCTCAAAATACTGCTTCCATTTTCATATTGAGAATTATAGCACACTTGCTTAGATACAGAAATGCTTCATACCATGTCTATATTGGGGGGAAAAAAAATCACCCAAATCCCCTGCAGAATTCCACAGATAGTCCCATTCATTACTCCAAAAATACTTGAGCAGCAGCTTTAGAATAACATGTTTTAATGTGGAAATGTTAAGATAGCTCCTTCAAACAGATTCTCTGTACAACAATCAGTGCTCTTTTTGCTCTTATATGGTAATACTGAGACAATGATACTCAAAACACTGGGGGGAAAAATATCAATTTGCCATCTGAATTTTAATTTTTAAATTTCTGCTCACTGTAGTGAAGTACTACTACTCACTGCTATTAATAGAATAATTACTATTTTAAGAATTATTTTAATTGACCTCTTTTAAGTTCTTGTGTTATTTTTGCAGAAATTTCACCATTTAATACCATGTAATGTATAAAAAGATGGTCTCCTGGTGTTTTGTAACGTGGTTTTACACCCTGGAATTGTTCTAGTGCGTAGCTTTAAAGAATGCTACCAGATATAAGATGACAATCTAAATTGCTTCCACAAGCACTGTGGTGGTTTTTTGGGGATATATGAAGGGGTGGAAATGACACATTTTTTATGATGTTGTTTTCTTCCTTGCCTCAGTAATTAATTTGCATGTTA